TATTTTTTACACAGAGTACAACTTCTGTACCTTTTCCATTGCATCTACTTCTTTTGACCATTTTTTATCTTTACATTTCCTATATTCTAGTCATAGAGTCATCCCAGTAGAGGGGACCCACTAAATTCCCTCACTGAACTCCATTGTGAAGCTTCCATGTGTTCTTCCTGTTTTGAGCCTGATAATCTTTTGCTAGAGGTAATAAAATAGAGTTAGAACTTTCACTTCAGCATCTCACTCTTATTTGCACACATGAACTCTGTCAAACAAGGCAGTATAACTAATTAAATACAGGGCAGATATGGATTACTATAACCGTTTTGGGACGCATAAAACAAAATACTGTCAAATTCCACAGTGTGTGATTAATCAGTTAGTCTTATTTTCTATTATGCTATACTGAACGTATGCAAAATAAATATAAAATTGCCTATTTTAGTGTGCTCCTCAATATTCACAAGCATTAGATGAAATATTATAAGTCATACTACTTTATGTTAGATAAGAGCCCAAATACAAAGACAAAACAAATTTCTCCATGGAGAAAGTAGTAGTTTCGGAAGCAGGAAATCCAGGAAATTATTACTGAAACTGTTTTGGGATGAGAACTGAAAACAAATGTAGTTTAATAATTTGGGCAGGAATCAGTGCTGGACTGGGGCTGTGACACACAGAGTCACATGCAATACAGCTGCAAGAGTCATTTGATAATTTTGGGCTATATAGCAACCTAATTCACCTTACAAGATTTCTGTGAGAATAAAACGGAAATAACTCTTCTTGAGAAGCCGAAGCTGATTTCTAAAGGATCTGATATTTTAGCACAATTACCATGCATAACAATAAAATATATGTATAGGGCAGCACACAGACTGTTTTGGTCAGAAAAGGTACTAGAAAGAGGAGGAACCCTGAAAAGCACAAATAAATCGTCTGTCAAAGACAGGTTTAAAGTAGGTCTTATTCTCCACCTATTTTGTACCAAGAGGCATTCTGGAAAATAGACAGAATGACCTAAATATCAGAACTGACTTTTGTTCTTTTTCGTCCACAGGGAACCAAACTGCCTCTAACAAG